TTCACCCCAAAATTTTTATTTGGTCATTATTTACTCGCCTTCCTGTCATTCCAAACCTGCATGACTTTGTTTCTTCCTTCAGAATGCAAAAGAAGATATTTTGAACTATTTTTGTCCATACAATGAAAGTCAATGGGGTCCAAAACAGCATTGAATTAATTGAACTTCATTTACATTAAATATAGGGGGAATATAATATTTGAAATAATATATATATAATATAAAAAATTTTTTAAATACAAATAAATAAAACAATTGTGTTCAACTGAAAAAAAAGTTATGTTCTGAACAACATGGCTGTGAGTAATTAAGGATAAAAAAATTCATTTTGGGGTGAACTGTCCCTTTAAATTTGTAATAAATATTGAAATGTGGCTAAGAATTGAAGTGGCTAATAATTGGCGTCACCTGAGGGGGAGTACATACAAAATTAATCAATAAATAGGGAATTTTGTGAATAATGTGCACTGCAATTCTGCATGAATTAATTCATGTTGGCCAATTTATATGTGGTTTTCATATTTATTTGAATTAATGTTTATTGTTGATGTTTCAGCTGAGAGAGTGACGTCACTTGGCAAAGACTGGCATAAACCCTGTCTGAAGTGTGAGAAATGCAACAAGACCCTGTCAGCTGGCTCACATGCAGAGGTAAGTCACTCACAGAAATACACACGGCCTGCCAACCTCTTACTGGGACAGAGCACAGATTAATTTACCAGGCAGGCTTAATGAAGTCCAGTTAACTTTTGGCATAGTTTTACCTTACATAAACACTTCAGGGGGTTAGTCTGTCAGGGTAATATGTCTTGAGGAAGGTCTTGCATAATAGCCCCTGTTCAAGTCCATTATGTACTTTGCACTGACTAATGTGTTTCACCTCACAGCATGAGGGGAAGCCTTATTGTAACAACCCATGTTACTCTGCACTCTTTGGACCCAAAGGTAAGTTTCTCCAATGCGTCAATGGCTCTGTTTTACTGTGCTGTAGGGTTATAGTTCAACTAGAGCATCACATGGCATAGATTAGTGCTTCACCTCATAAACAAATGGACTGGGGACTGCTGTGGGACAGTACTTGACCACTATAAAATGGTTCATCCATGGAATTTATTCAACTTTCTTGATTTAATCCAAATATCTTATTGTCAGCTATCCACATATTTTTCTGTTATATAATTGAATTATGCGTCAATGCTTTACATATTTTTGACAGTGTCAAGATTTTTTGTGTTTTCAGTTAGCAAGCTAATCAGTTAGCCTGCTAATCTAACACATCCTGTGCAAGTTACTTCACATAATTATATAAAAACATTAAATTTCATGCCATATGGTCAAATGGACATGGTGATACTATATTTTCTATTTAAGACTAACACAATGACTGTCATATGTAAGTAATTCTCTTTCTTTTTTCCCTCAGGTTTTGGACATGGCGGCACTGAGAGCCACACATTCAAATAGGTCATTGTACAAGTGAGTTCACCATATAAATATGATCAGTTGTACCTATACTTACAGTAGATTACATGTAAACATGAACTAACTGCACTCTTCTTTCTATTTGCAGGTTTATACAATCTGTAAGCTTGGTTTAGGAGAAGCTTGATTTTTGTTTGTTTTTTTTGCCACTATATTTAGCCACATATTGTTAATCCAAAAACAAAATGACCAAATCATGCCAAGTTTTAGAAAGTACTAATTTGTATAATCTGTTTTTAAAATGTTGTCTGCTATAGCAGCACACAATGTTTAATTAGGGGGACTAGTCTAGCCTTTATAATGAAACTGAACATTTTATACATTAAATGTGTTTAAAACCTCTGCTTGTCCTTTACACTTCTTTCTCAAATTAATTGATAAATTGATAAAAAGTATTAGCTATAAATATATAAACTACATTTTGCATAATTTTTTGTACAAAATGTTATCCTATTTATCCCTATCATTGTGTCACTTATAACATATGATTGCATCATGATTTTGTTACTCATGTTTTCATTTTAAAGGCTTAAAGGGGTCATAGGATGCTACATGCACTATTACAAGTAGTTTGAACTGAAATGTGTGTTGGCAGTGTGTGTACA